TTAAATAAGATCTTATATAGCCTGGACTGCTGTTCTGTATGTCCAAAGAATGGTTCATAATAACCATGCTTCAGTTTCAGATGAGTGAGTTTATTTACATAGCAAACAAAAGTAAAAGACCAAATAGTAAAGAGCAGATAGCAAAACATGATCAGATCGGACGCCCCCAACATCAAGTAGAGATCTCTAGCTGTGCCTAGCTATTGGCCATTTAGCTTTTTATTTTATTTTTTTATTTTTTTAATATTTATTTATTATGCGTACAATATTCTGTTTGTATGTCTGCTGGCCAGAAGAGGGCACCAGACCTCATTACAGATGGTTGTGAGCCATCATGTGGTTGCTGGGAATTGAACTCATGACCTTTACGAAGAGCAGGCAATGCTCTTAAGCACTGAGCCATCTCTCCAGCCCCATTTAGCTTTTTATTAAACCAGTCAGAGTGACACATCTTCACAGTGTACAAAAAGGTTATTCCACATCATAAATATATTGCGGTGGTGGCGCACGCCTTTAATCTCAGCACTTGGGAAGCAGAGGCAGGCGGATCTCTGTGAGTTCGAGACCAGCCTGGTCTACAAGAGCTAGTTCCAGGACAGGCTCCAAAACCACAGAGAAACCCTATCTCGAAAAACAAAACAAAACAAACAAACAAACAAATATATATATATATATATATATATGCTTACTTTCCCTTGCCTAAGAGCTGTAGTAGCACATTGAAATAGACTGAGTTACACTTATGTCCATTATGATCACAAGACAAGTACTGTAGATACAGCTACACAAGAAAGATTATGAGACAGGAATACAGAATTTTGAAGTAAAGTATTCACTACTAATTATTTACTTTCTGACTTCTTAGCCATGAAAATAAAAGTTAAGTTTTCATATTATAAAAAGATTTGGCTTTGTTTTTGAATACGCTTGTTCATAAACTATCTGCAGTAGTATTTTAAAAATTGGGTGTTTGGGGCTCAGTGAGCTGACTCAGCCTGGTGATCTGAGTCAAGTCCCCAGAACCCACATGGTGGAAGGAGAGAAGAGTCTCCTGCAAGTTGTCCTCTGAGCTTCACATGTGCACAGCACATGCCCCTGATCCCCACAAAATAAACAAATGGAGAAAAATACGTTGGCATGGAGTGGTGACTCAGATGAAACGTAAAGCTAACTCGGGCGGGGGTGTCAGGGTGTTTGATTTCTAGGCCAGCATGACATTGTGAGGAACTCCCCGCAAAAAACCACAAAAGAACAGACTGTGTCAGCTCCTTTGAATCAAACCAGTTTTTAACCTTTTCATTGACACTTAGAAATATGAAGTCATAGGAAATACTGTTTTTCTTCTCGATTTTATATTTTCCTTGATTTTTTTTGAGATTGCAATTTAATGGCAACATTTTCCCCTTTCCTTTCCTCCATCCAAACCTTCCCATATCCCAGCCCCTGCTCTGCTCCAAACCTTCCCATATCCCAGCCCCTGCTCTGCTCCAAACCTTCCCATATACCAGCCCTGCTCTCCTTCAAATTCTTGGCCTCTTTTTTCATTATTGCTATTACATGCATGTGTGTGTATGCATATATATCTTAAGTATAACCTGCTGAGCCATGTGTCGTGTGTCGTGTGTGTGTGTCCATGAAGGCGTATGAGCACTAGCGGGTTGGCATCTTCAGAAAGGACAATAAAGCAAGACTGGCAGGTTGTGACTCTCCTGTCCCAGTGCTTACCAGGTGCTGAAACAAGAGATTAGCTTGCTGGCTTCATAACTCCATCAGCATTTGACTGAGGTTTTATTAAGTTCATTTTTATAGCATTCACATCTTCACCCCACATCTGACATAGCTATTACTATTTGGTGTTTTTAAGTCTTCATTTACCACAGAATAATGTCAGGTTTCACTAATGGTGAAAATATGTATAAACTAGAACTAATCCATGGAAATGAGAATTTTGAGATTTTTTTTGCAATAACTCTACATTGCTTTTATTATCCAAACTGGAACCAAGAATTGTGCTTATGTTTTATAGTGAGCGGACTTTCTATTATATAGTCTATGTCAATTAGGAAAAGTTGTGGTGGCGTAAACAGTAGTTGAATTAGCCTGTGGTAGTGGTGCATGCCTTTAATCCTGGCACTGGGGAGGGGGCGGGGGGGCGGGGCAGGCAGATCATTGTGAGTTCGAGGCCAGTCTGGTCTATAGAACAAGTTTTAGGACAGCCAGAGCTACACAGAGAAACTCTTATCTCAAACAAACAAACTAACTAACAAAAAACAAAACAAAAAAGAAAAAGAAAGAAAGGAAAAAAAGGTAGATAGTAATATACTTAGCATGTATGAGGCTCTGGGTTTACTCTCTAGAATCACAAAAAAAAAAAACAAGAATAGAGACAGAAAAAGGAAAATAGTGCAAGTTTTAGCACACCGATAAATGCTAGAAATGTGAAGAATGTAATGGAATTATGTAATTTATAGTTATTAATATATATTTTATTTGCACATGTACTAGAATGTGTTTTTGGAAGTGTCTCATACTGCAGTTGCCAGGATCCAAGGAGATCCTCAGGCTACTTGGATTTGATTTGGTTTTGGTGGAATTGCTGTTTTATTTCCCTTTTTTTCCCCTTTCTTTTCGTTTTTCTTTTTTCTTTTTTTGAGATTGTGTTTCCCTGTGTAGTCAGCATGGCATCAGAGTTGCAATAATCTCTCTGCCTTGGCCTCTTGAGTGCTGAAATTATGTGTGTGTGCCACCATCCAGCTTTTGTTTTAAAGTTATGGAAATGACTAGTGATAATTGACCAGTTAGTTAAAAATATCAAGTATGGGGCTGGAAAGATGACTCAGCGGTTAAGAGCACTGGCTGCTCTTCCAGAGGTCCTCAGTTCATTTCCCAGCACCCACATGGTGGCTCACAACCATCTGTAATGAGAACTGGTGCCCTCTTATGTATGCAGGCATGTGCGCAGGTGTACATTATTAATAAATCTTTTTTAAAAAATCAAGCCTGTGTTTCCTAAGTACTTTTCTCTGAAATATGGAAACTACATCTTTTTGTTCCTTTCAGTTGAAGAGCTGAGAGGAAGGATATTGGTAGTTTTAAAGATGTTAGCAAGAATGTTTATTTTCTAAGAAGAAACAAGTAGAATTATTTTCTCATTGTTTTTCATAAGGAAGTCACCTTGTAACATACTACAGAATTCATATTGAGTAGCTCAGGATTTTAATAATAGTTTTGAATATTTTGAACATTTGGTTATGTATTTCTTTCTTTTGAAACTTATTACCCCCATTTTGATCTGTAAAAAAAATTGTTCTATTTTAATGTTCAGATTTTGTATTTAAAAACAAAATTAGAGAACATGTTATTGACTATCATCTTTAATTATTGTCTTTATCTTCCTCAATCTCAGTGTAGATTTTAACCCTGCCCCAGGGAAGTGATTCCCCTCCCTCTCAGCTAAAAGCACACTCAGAGTACAGTTTTTACACCCATAGGCCTTGGTTGACATAACGTGGAGTGTTAATAACTTTCTTTGTAGGTAAAACACAATTTCAAAAAAATGAAGAGTGAAGGCATTCTGTTTCTCTAAGAGTTAGATCCTATTTTGTTTGCTCTTGTGGGATGAAATCATATATTTACAAATGTACATTTGCATAGTGCAGTAACCACATAAAGAGATTCTAATTTAAGGTAGTCATAAATTGGTAAAAGAAAAAAGTGTTTATCTTTTACAGCCACAAATCAGTTTTATGGTCACATAGTTTATGCTCTTCTGTGTTGAGCAAAATGAGCCTGGGGAGGGTTGTAGCCATGAGCTTTCATTTCTGCATCCTGTAATTCTGCAGGGCTAGTTGTCTGTGTCATATAGTCGGAACAGAGTCTTGAGAGACTGTAAGAGGCACGTGTGCATTGAGCACCTTTGTTTCCCTTTTGATATTTGAAGAGCAGAGGAAGGAGCAAAGCTGTTGTCACCTAATGTTAAGGTTTTTCAGCTGCTTGCATTGCTTGCGCTCGTTTTCCTTTCTTAAGTATCGCTCTAAAAGGTGTATTATATTGTACCAAAAGAGAGCAACACAGGTTGACTGGGCAGCAGAAACGAAGGCTTTGGTGTTCCTGTTTCTGTTGTTCATTTCATTATCTCTGCAGCAAGAGTCTGAACTTTAAACTTTGTGTTAAGGTGGGTTTGATGGTTGGTAGAAGTCACACAGGAGCGTTTATCAGAAAAGAGCCATCCTCAGTTAAGTAGGAATGGAGTATTTCGTTTTTATAATGTCTCTCCTGTTAGCAGGTCAAAGAAAGGTTTAAAAATTGAAATTAGGACCAGAGGAACAGGGTTTGAAAAATATTTAAATAATTACCTTGTATATTTGGTGGATGCTCATTATTTCAGATTAAACTGAATCTTAGCTTTACATAATTATTTTTCCTTAATTCTCATATTTAAGGTTTCACTTTACTTGTTTATTTGCCTTATCAAGATCCAGAAGAATTACGTTTTCATTTAAATTGATTACATATAGACAGATAGTTGATTGTGATGTATTTAATTGATTTTCCAGTTTGTCCTATTTAAAGCGATTCTGTGTGTCTGTGTTAACAGTTATGTAAATGTTCCACATTAAAGCAGGTTAGATGTTATCTTAACTTACTGACCTTCTAGGCCAGTCTCTATCATTTTAAACGTAACCCTAATCCTTAAAAAAATTGTTTTATTATCTGCACATGGCTGTCATTGTAAAGTGTTTAAGGCATTAGGCACTATAGTAACCGTGGAAGTGGCTCCACGTGTCGGCTTTTGCAGAGCTTTACAGAAGTTATTGCGCACAGCTCTCGTGACTTGGAACAGCATGTCAGTTTTGAGAAGCCACGTGCAAGTTTGAGATTTTGAGATTGGAACTAACGTAGAAAGCTTGAGTAGCAAAGTATTAAAAAGTTATTCTCTGATGGCCTTGATGATAATACTTTATGAATATATAAAGCTTTGCATTCCTCTCTTTTTACAGTTTGTGAAGACTGCGGAGACCTGCAATCCAGTCACATTAAGTGTGTAAAGAGATAGTGGTCCTCATGGAAGAAGAGCAAGACCTACCAGAGCAACCGGTGAGTGTTCAAGTTGATTGTAGAAAAGCTAAGCTGAAGAGATTTTGAGTAGTATTCAGTTATACTTACAGAATCCAAATTAGAAATAACAATGAAGAACAGGATCCTTAGTGATTTCCCTCGGAGAAAGCAATGTTGTATGTTCTTTTGTTTTGCTTTTGAGATGGACTTGCTGTGTGCAGTCTCTGGCAGCCTCAAACATGTGATCCTCTTACCTCAACTTCCCAGATCAGGATCACAGATGTGCACCGCCTTACCTGGCATGTTGTATGTTTTTAAAATTAAACTTGGCTAACTTACTGCTGGGAAATCTGTGCTGCACACTCAGTAGTAAGTGTTGCCCTTTCTTTATGTATTGAGAGTTGCACACTTATGGTTACTCTGCCATTGTTTTAGCCCTCTCAGTTAAAGTAACTGTAAAAGTTAGGGAGACATAAGTAATTAATAGAAATACTGAAATTTTTAAATGTGATCCCTGCCCTTGGTGAGTTATTACTAACCAGGGGGTATAATAGGGTTAAAATCATCGTGAGCAGTATATATAGGATGTGCACTGTTGACACAAACAACTGAGTTATAGACATTAAATGTACCAAGGAAAATTGTATCATTGAGTGTTAATGTAGTAAGAGAAAAGTCTACTCATAAATTCAGAAAGACTTACATAAATGTTGACATACTGTTGAAAGAGAACCCTTAGTTACTCCCTACCTAATTAAAGTAACAAGAACTGTGAGACTGACATGGCTTCTACTCTGCTTCCCTCTCTTGTCATTCTGTTCAGTTTCTAGAACTTGTATGCAAAGCAAATTGTTAGTGGAAGGGAAGAGACTGAAGCACTCTAAAGCCAGAATTCCTGTCCTGTGGTTATTGTTATGGAAAGTCTCTCTCCCTTTTTCCCCTCCCTCCCTTCCTTTCTTCCTTTCTTTCTTTTCTTGGTTGAGACAGGGTTTCTCTGTGTAGCCCTGGCTGTCCTGCACACCTTTAATCCCAGCACTCAGGAGGCAGAGGCAGGCGGATCTCTGTGAGTTCGAGGACAGCCTGGTCTACAAGAGCTAGTTCCAGGATAGGCTCCAAAGCTACAGAGAAACCCTGTCTCAAACAAACAAAAAACAGAGGAAGAGTGCGTGATTTTCAGGAGAAGAGCTGTGGGGCAGGTTGTAGTAGAGATCCCTTTGATAGAACAAGGGGCTCTGCCGCAGACCACTAAGATGGCACGGCTGACTCAATCCTGTATTCCACTCTTCTTTTCCGTGAGGGGGCGTAGTCTATAGACTGTAAAGGACAGCCTCCCTGAATTGGTCATTCTTTTGGTTTTGAAGGCAGTGTCTCTCTAAGAAGCCCAGACTGGTCTTGACTTCTCTGTATAGCCCAAACTGGCCTATAACTCATGAGCCCACTGCCTCAAGCCTCTGGGGTGCTGAGATCTTAGGGAATGCACCACCATATCCATCTTATGATATTTTAGATGAATTCTGATCTTCCTGACTCTGAAGTTTTTCCTCATAAGCTCACTTTGTTTCTTTGAGACAAAAATCTGTTTGTGGTCTATGCCGTCCTTGAACTGCAGGCAAGTCTGAGTGCTGGGAGTGCAGTCATGTGGTACCATAAGCAGCTGTTCAGTGGACCCCAGACTTAGAAATACAACTGTCAGACCAATGTTTATCATCTCTGGGAAAAACAAAACAAAAACCAGTGAATGAGTGACATGTTTGAAACAGCTGCAAAGAAGCGTGCTGCCAAAGCCTTGTTACTGTTTTCTTGAGGAGTGAAGGAAAAGGGGCCAGAAACTACATACTGTGCTGATTAATGTCGATTCAGTAACAGCATCCTAAAACTGAACGGACCTTAGAAAAGAATATGATATTTGGGTAGTAATATTGACAGTTCCAAGTTTTGGGATATGAATGGCTCAAGTGACTTTATGATACTAAAAAACTGAGAAAAAGTCTTCTAAGTATCCCAGAATAATGACATTATTTCTTCAGCACTCTGTAAATTGCAGTGAGCGCCCCCCTTCTTTTCCTTTTTGTGGGAGTCGTGGTGGTTGTCTATTACTTGTTTTGCTCTTATTTCTCTTGTCTGCAGTACTAAATGTTGAATGAGAGTCCTGTCGGCGCTAAGCGAGCGCTTTATCTCCCCACTAGCCTTTGGGTATTTCCTGTTGTTTCATTGCTGTTTTCTCCTCTTCAAGTAGAGGCTGACACTATCAGCGAGAGGGTCCTTCATCTGAAGACAGGACTGCTGCATCCTGTAAGGCTGCACATGATAGCACCCAAAGCCGTTTGTAATCTGATGATTTCTCCTCACTGTTAGCTAAGTGTGGCCTGGTAGTAGTATTTTCTAGATGTGCCTTTTTTCCAAAAAATAAGAGGCTCTACCATTTTATTTTCTTCTTTTACCATGTCACACTGTGACTAAAGAATGTTGGTTTGCTCTCCCCCACCAAAAAAAAAAAAAAAAGCAGTGGTGGCGCACGCCTTTAATCCCAGCACTCGGGAGGCAGAAGCAGGCAGATCTTTGAGTTTGAGGTCAGCCTGGTCTACAAAGTGAGTTCCAGGACAGCCAGTACTGTTAAACAGAGAAACCCTGTCTCGAAAAACCAGAGAAAAAAAAAAGAATGCTGGCTATATGTCCCGATGTGTTTAAGGGACAAAAACACTATAAATAGATGGAATCAGTCTAGATGGAATAGTCTCCTTCATTTGTTACCAGATTTTCAGTAGGTAAAAAAACATAGGAATAAGTAAGTGTATATTGTGTATACACGTTATAATGGAGTGGACAGTATAGGGAGTTGTCCTAAACTGGCACAGTCCAGCTGTGGCCTTTAGTTTACTCTGAAATTTATTTTTAGGACACTCCTTTCCATTTGTGTAGTCTCCTATGTTTTCTACATTTGATGTTGTTTCCTTCCTTTCCATTTTCTCTGTTTTCTCAGGCGGTCTCTAAGATATAGTGCAGATTCTATTATCTTGCAGGTGCTCGAAGGCTCGTTATTCTCAGGGTAGGCTCGGAACTCCCTGGTCTGATATCTAAGGATGGACCTGTGTGAGCAGACTACTGTTCACTGACGCTTCACTATGTTCTTGTCTCCTCCTGGGCTACTCCTAGGTGCAGTGAATTTTGGGTGTTTGAATTTCATGTTCTTTATTATCATTGAACCCTTTTTATGACTTTTTGTTCATATCAGTCCCCCCTTCCCCACTCCCAGATAGATGTTCCTCTGTACCTACTGAATTCAATTTTTCAGGTTTCAGCTTCTATTGTTTTTTTTTTTTTTTTTTTTTAAAGACGGGCTGTCTATAGCCCTGACTGGCCTGAAACTCACTCTGTAGACCAAGTTGACTTTGAACTCACATCTACTTGCCTCTGTCCCTCCACAGTGCTAAGACTAAAGGTATGAGCCACCACACTGGGGTTCTCAATTGAATTAAAAATGATAGAATACTTTTTTGTATGTGTTTTGTCTGAGTCTGCATTTCATCCTGGGATTCTTTAGCCTCTTGGTTGGCTTATTATATAGGTAATTACTATTGTGTAGGAGCTTCACATATTTGCATAATAACATTTATTCTAGGTCTAATCAAAACAAAATGAAGCAAATATTGGTTGATATATAGTCAACTTTCCCTACCAGTTATCAATATTTGTGAACTAAGGCAAGGGTAAATATAATGTGCGAAACTATTTTTTTAGTACACTTATTATGTAAACATTCTCATTTCCTAAGTAATACAGTACAGCTATTCACACAGTATTTACACTGTATTAGATAGCATAAGTATAGTGTAAAGTACATGAGAACTACGCTTGTAATATAACTGCCATGGACATCTACAGATTTTGGTGTCAGTGAGGGTTCCTGGAGCCAGCTCCTGTGATGCTGAGAGACAATTGTGTGTTTGAACAGCTAGGGTTTCAGATCAAATTACTGCACTGATTTCTGCGTATGCTGATGTTTACAGGTGAAGAAAGCCAAGATGCAGGAGCCAGGAGAACAAACTTTAAGGTATTTATAAAATTGGGCTTCTTTGAAATAACCTGTCTTACTTTTTACCCTGTGCCAATTAGCATAGGGCCTGCTTTGTGTTTTCATTGTCACCTTTCATTGTGAAATTATTTGCTTTCAATTAAATATTCTCTCCAAAATAGGATTCATAAAACACTTAAACTAGAGACTCGTTTGGACAGCATAGCAAGACCCGGTCTCGGAAAAAAACTACTTTTCCTAAATAGCTATCCTCTAGTACTTATCTAAATTTTTGTAGTTAGGCCTTCATTACTTATTAAACAGTATGTACTGAGTTCATTTTATATATATCAAGCTTTTGTGGAGAAACTCATAAATGAAAAATGATATATTCTTTTTTTTTTAAATATTTATTTATTTATTTAGTATGCCTGCAGGCCAGAAGAGGGCACCAGATCTCATTACAGATGGTTGTGAGCCACCATGTGGTTGCTGGGAATTGAACTCAGGACCTTTGGAAGAGCAGGCAATGCTCTTAACCGCTGAGCCATCTCTCCAGCCCCAAAATGATATATTCTTCAGTCAAATGTACAGTATAAAGAAAGGAAAGACCAAAATAAAGGAAATACAAAGAATTTGGCATTAATTATCAATTGAGTATGTAATACCCTAGACATTGGTTTCACTTCTATAGAAAGGAGGTATCTTCTTAGCATCTCATGTTCTGCCTACAGTGCCGTCACGGTTGTCATTTTTCCAGAGCTTTACCTCTTGTTGGTTGTCCACTCATCATCTGAGCCAGTATCTGCAGCATTTCCAGCACATGGATTTCAAGAATGCTGTTTTTACCACCACATAGGTCACCCAGATCTTTACCCTGCAACTGCCATGGATCTCATTCTTACACTTTACATTTCTAAATTTTCTTTATTTTCTTTATTACTCACTTGCCTTTCTCTCAAACAGGCTTCAGTTTCTTTCTTATGCTAGTTAAGTTCTGATATCTACTTCTGTAGGGTGTGGTGGCTCATGCCTTTGATCCCAGCACTTGGGAGGCAGAAACAGGCAGACATCTAAGTTTGAGGCCAGCCTAGTCTACAGAGCAAGTTCCAGGACAGCTAAGGCTACACAGAGAAACCCTGTCTAGAAAAAAGCCAAAGGAAAAAAGGGGGGGGGGAGCATTGCCAAAGAAATGACTCAGGGATTAGGAGCACTGGGTGCACTTCCAGAGGACATGGGTTCAATTCCCAGCATCCACATGGCAGCTCACAACTGTCTGTAACTCCAGTTTCGGGAGATCTGACACCTTCACATCAGTGTACATAAAATAAAGTTTAATTTTTAAAAAATTCTGTTAAAAACAATCTGAGTACTGAGATTTAAAGACTTAAGCCACAATGCTCAGCTGTAAACGTTCCCCTCCATCCGTCACACTAGGGATTGAATCCAGGGCCTTGTGTGTGCTAGGAAAAGCTCTGTCACTGAGCTACATCCCACAGCCCTAAAAGCATTTTTAAAAGTATGAGTTAGTATCGCTGTGTACATGAACTTGTCTTGACCACTGACACCATCCATCTCTGTAACTTTTGTTCCCACATTTAGACTTCACACCTGTTAAACAGAGCTTCCCTTTGCCCCAGTCTACTGTCCCTAGCATCTTCCATTCCACTCTCTGTTATTATGAGATTAGTCTTTGGGATTGACTAGTCTAAAAACTTCATATAAAGGACTATAAGATAATGCATATAGTCTGTTTGTAGCTTTGTAATAATGTCTTCAAGGTGCCTCTCCATAGCGTGTGTATATTTGGCTGTCCTGGAACTCACTCTGTAGACCAGCCTGGCCTTGAACTCAGGGATTCATCTGCTTCTGCCTCCTGAGTGCTGGGATTAAAGATGTGGGCCACCACTCCCTACTTAATTTTCTTCCTTTTAAAAATGAGTAATACTTCTATTTTTTTCCTTTTTTTCCTGTCAGTTATTGATAATTTGCAAGAGTTTTGTTGAATGAGAAGGTATTTGAGCTGTTTAGTTTATGATGTTTGACTTTTTTTTTTCATTTTATTTTATTTATTTATTTATTTATTTATTTATTTGGTTTTTCAAGACAGGTTTCTCATTGTAGCCGTGGTTGTCCTGGAACTTGCACTATAGATAGGCTGGCCTCAAACTCACAGAGATCTGCCTGCCTCTGCCTTCTGAGAGCTGGAATTAAAGGTGTGTGCCATCACACCTGACAATCATTTTTATTTTTTTTATTTTTATTTTTTTTTAAAGATTTATTTATTTATTATATATACACCATTCCTTCTATGTATGCTTGTATGCCAGAAGAGGGCACCAGATCTCATTATAGATGGCTGTGAACTACCATGTGGTTGCTGGGAATTGAACTCAGGATCTCTAGAAGAGCAGTCAGTGCTCTTAACCTCTGAACCATCTCTCCAGCCCCTCATTTTTATTTTTTAAGCAGCTTTTTTGTTAAGCAAAATTTTACATTAATATGTTCTAAAAGTAATGTTGTCAGGCAGTATGCAGTTCTCTAGGGACAGACAATTTTAAACATTTAACAAAGTGCTAGAGTTAATTCACTGTCTTGATAGTGTGTTTCTAATCTGTGCATGTTCACTTGAATATGTAGGGGATTTTGCTATAATAAAATTCTATAGAATCATACTAGAATCAGAGACCTTTTAAAACTGGTGTGCCCAGTGTATATGAGGACATAACACTTTTAAGATTCAGGTCTTAAAAATAATATTCAGCAGTAAATATAACTTTGTAACTCAGAGTTATTCAAGTAAACAGAAAAGAAACTATCATTGCAGTGGAAATGTGAAATTCTGGTCCCCTTCATGTTCTTCCTGTATGAATTCTATTTAAGGTTTTGAGGTGAGACTCAGAAGTCCTTAGCTTTTATGTAAAATTCAGGGCATTATGATTTAGCATGTTGGTTTGTACCAATATAACTAGTTCATGCCATTTATTTCCTTTTCCACTTAATTTCCATAGTTATAATTTGGGGAGTGCATTACTGTTCCAAAAGTATAATCATTTGAGCAGAGATAAAATTGAACTTTGCTTGAGATTTAGTTTTAAAAATTAAATTTCCAGGTTGAGAAGACAGCTAAGCCATCTGCCGCTCTTGCAGGGGAACAGGATTTTGTCCTCAGCACCTGTATGGTGACTTTATAACTCCAGTTCCAAGGGCTCCGATGCCCTCTTATGGATCCATAGGTACCAGGCACACACATAGTCCACATACATGCATACTGGCAAAACTTTCATATACATGAAAAAAAAGGTTTTTGTTTTTTCCCAACTAAATGTAGGCATGGTGGTGTACACCTCTAAACCCAGCACTTAGGAGGCAAAGGCAGGTTGGTATCTGAGTTTGAGTCTAGTCTAGTCATTATATCGAGTTTCAGGCCAGCCAGGGATACATAATGAGATCCTGCCTCTGAATGAATGAATGAATGAATGAATGAATGAGTGAATGAATGAATCTGGGAAAAGTTAATTTAACATTCAAAATATACCAGAAGAAAATTTCCTTATTATTGATACTTGGATATGGTTAGCTTCAGAGGTCATATGAGAGAGCTTTAAATGTTGCCATGTAGGAACTACTTTTACCTCCGCTCAGGCATATCCTCAGATATCGAGCCTCTGGCACTGTAGCCTTTACCTGTTCCCAGGGGAGAAAGAGTAAAGCAGGCTTCTCTCAGGCATAAATGTGGGAAGGGTGCATGAACTGCAACCAAGAAATAGAACAGCACGGTTAGTGCGCATATTATGTCTGGACTTAGCTACTTTTTTGTACTGCCATTGTCCTTATAACCCAGAGAGGTGGGTTCTGTTTGTATCCTTACTGACAAGTAAACCAAAGTCTAGAGAATTTGGTGACTTGTCCAAACTACACAGCTAGTTGTTATTGGAAAAGTAGATCATGAGCTCGGCATTCAAGCTCTGGAGCTTGCACATGGTAATGAAGTTAGCTAGTTTCTGAGATAGGGTCTCACTCTGTTGTGCGGACTTGCTTTAAACTGGCTTTGTAACCCATGCTGGCCTCACTTACCACAAACCCTCTTGGCTCAGCAACCCAAGTGCTAGAGTTAGGAGTGAGTCAGCACATGAAGTTAGAAGCTGTACTCTAACCACTGTGCTGCTGTGGTAGAAGTGATGGAAACTTGAACTTACAGGGAGAGTAGAGGAGGAAAATGTTATCAAGGACTCAACTTGGAGTCATCTCCGTTCCAGAATTTTAGTGGCATTTTTGTAACATTGTAGTTTCTAATGTAATGACTTTAATCTTCCTCATTTATATGACTTACCTATTAGAATTTCTCTTAGCTTTCTTAAGGTTAATTAATAAAAAGCTATAGTGCTTGCTTAACACATTTGAGGACCTGGGTTTAGTCACTGATGCTACAGATAGTAGACAGACAGACAAACAGACAGATTGAGCTAGTGTCCTGGGTATTGACTTTGTCTCTTTGTCTTGGGGACTCTTGTGGCTCACGTATTAGAAGATGGCCTTGAACTCCTGATCTTTCTGCTGTACATGTCCCTAGTGCTGGGATTATAGGTGTACTACAACACACTTACTTTTTCTTAATAAAAGATAACAAGTTTTAAGGCTCAGAACTCCTCCTTGGGAACAAACATATTTAATCTTTAAAAACTTCTTCAAATTAAGATTTGTAGCTGATGGTGACCACTCTCTCTAATTAGAATCTCCCTACTTTGTTGTATTTCTAACCAGAGTAACATACACAGAATTGTGTGGGAAGAAAGTATACATTTCGAATGTTTTCATCACAAAGAATAAGCATGTGAGGTGGTGTTTGTTAACTAGCTTTATTTGCTATTTCATAGTATAAACACACCAACATATTACATTACAGTCCACCTAGATACAATGTATATAATGTTTTTAAAGTAACAGCACTGTGTTAGATATTCAGGGTTACTTTAACAAATGATCTTAGAGAAAAATATTTGACTTGTTTGTGACTTAACTGGGGCTTCAAAGTGATGTAAATTTCAAGGGGTCTAGGGATATGAAAAAGAACAGTCAGATATGGAAGGTACTGGCCCTGACCCTCTTGCTTTTAGCTTAGTTGCTAAAAACCAAGACTAGGGAGATCATCTAGATTTACTTCTTACTGGAATAGCCTAGGAGGAGATGGGTTTGAGCTTATCCTTTTCAGCCTTGCAGCACCTCATTCAGGGGCTAATATGTTTGTTTTGGTTCTCCTAGTCAAGTAAACAACCCGGATGTCAGTGATCAGAAGCCTGAGACATCCAGCCTTGCGTCAAATCTTAACATGTCAGAGGAAAGTAAGTACCATGTGATATGCACAGCGGATGTGGTATTCCTGTAACCGAGGGGTGTTCTTCTTGTAAAATGGGGTTTTACTGAGTGTCTGGGTTGTCCAGAATGTTTAGAAGGCTCTTCTCACCATGTTCATACATGTACTCCTATAAGCATCATTGACATACCAGCTGAGGACAAATCTCAAGGAATCTGCTCATCCAAGGAGTCATACTCAGTGACTTTTTTTTTTTTCGCTTGGAGGTTGAATTTATAAAAGTAGTAGCATTTTATTAAAATTTAAAATACTTGTGAGCTAATGCCTAACTGATCCTAAAAGAGGATTTAAGCAAAAAACAACATAAAGCCAAGTAATCCTACCTATCAATCAAATGTTCCTCCTAAACCCTCACTCTAATGCAACTCAACTCTCCCTCTTCTGTATAAGTGTGTACAAATAACTAAGCATTGTTGGCTGGAATTAACTGTCGTCATAACCACAGGCCTCGGGTGAGTACTCAGCCTTCATTTCTCTGCTGAGCCTTTCATTTTAATTACACCACCTCTTCTCTCAGAACATCAAGCTTCACTCTCACTTCCCTCATGGCTTAGCTCTTCTCAAATAAAAGCCCCACACGAGGAGTTCCTTAGTCACTACCCTATCTCTGTTTGTGATGCTGTCTTGTTTCAGAAGAGTGTTCTTGCTCTTGTCAAATCTAAGTCCCTGTCTTTGCATCCTCTCCCCTCTAGCTTCCCCAGGACTCTATGTGATGCTCCTCTCCCCTCCACTCCTGCACCGTCACATTCTTTCTCCTAACTCTTCTGGCCATAAAGAGGTGTGCTCTGGTGTCTGCCGTCTTTAGAAGGCAACACAAACTCTTTGCATCTTTTGTGAGTTACAGATTTTTGTGTGTTTCCTGACATATCAGAACCTCTGAAAGAAACTGCCTTTGCTTGCTTCCCCCCACCCATTCACTCTTCAGCCAGTTGACTTAGCTTCTGTTGTCTCTCTTCCCATGAAACTGCTTGGCGAGTCCCTCAGTTGCTGTCATGTTGCCAGTTCTAGTGGACATTTCTCTCCTCACAGTCTCCCTCTCAGCAATGCTTCCTCACTTTTCGTCCCCGATTAACCCTTCTTTTCTAAGTGTTTAATGTTAGGAGGCCTCAGGTTTGGGTTCTAGGCTACCATCCTCTTTGGGGATCCTCCCATCCATCACATTACTTTAAATGTCATACATTGTTAACAAACTCCAATTAAGTAGTCCTGGCTGGCCTGGAACTCATTAGAAGTAGACCAGGGTGTCCTTGAATTCACAGAGATGCACTTACCTCTGCCTCCTGAGTTCTGGGATTAAAAGCATGGACCATCATGCCCAGCCAAATCCCACATTTTTTTTTCCCAGACTAATTTCTCCTCTCCCAAACATCCCCTTTTTAGGAAGTTGTACTGTCCCACCATCTGTTCAAATGACAAACCTGGAAGTCACCTTGCGCTTCCCTGTCTTCCTTATTCCATACGTCGAGCTAATTCAAGTGATGTGTTAGTTACACCTTCCCTCTGTTTCATCCTCACTGTTGTTACTGTCCTCTGCGACAATAGGCTACCTTTTAAATCCCCTATTGTATAGTAACAGATTATGCCCTGGAGTAAGCATCAAGAGTGTAAAGACGACAAAGAAGAAGCATCATTTGATTTCTTAGATATGGGTATGGCTTTCGAAGTCTGTCAATGAGCATGGCTGAGAGTCTAGGGAAATTTGCTTCATAGACAGTTTTGTGATGAGAAAGTGGGGATTAGATGGGTTATCTTCAGATCTTTTCTGTGTCTATCTATCCACCTCCGTCCTATCTTGCTTCTTTTACTGCCTCTTAAACTCTGTAGACAGGTCTGTAAACAGAAATGAGGTGTTTTCTGCTACATAGTCTTTGGACCTTTTTGGCATCCAGTCTCTATGTTACTCACTTTGAAGGACTATACAATAAGATGTTTTCCACTTGATTTTTAAAATGTTCTAACTTGCTTTTACCTGATAATATCTTTCTTTCAGTTATGACATGCACCGATTACATCCCTCGCTCATCCAATGATTATACCTCACAAATGTATTCTGCAAAGTAAGTTGAATAGTTATTTCCAAACTTTTCTCTAAGTTCATTGCAAAATTTAATATTTAACTATTTTCACCTCCCTTGTTTTATGTCCTTACTCCAGTTTTTATCACATCTAAATAAAATCTGTCATCCTTTTAAAAACCAGATGGTTGCTGGAATAGAAGACTGATCAGAAAGCATGTTAGCGAGCTGACCATTTCCTTTCTGTACATTGACATATGGAGCAGGAAAAGCAGCTTAAGGTGGCTCCGGATTGGCAACTACAGACAGTTGAGCTTGAAATGAGACAAATGTGATGGGTTAAAGTTACAGAGAGGTACATTTTAGGCCTTCACAGCATACGGTCAGTGTTTAAGACTAACCAGGTTAGTCATCTTTAAGGTGGGTAGGGTGCAGAACAGTATGTATCAAGTTGTAGTTGTGTATTAATGAAGAATGAACCTACCCATACAAAGACTCAGACAGCTGCTAAGCCAGCATGTTCTTGTTGGTTTTGTGAGCAACTGCACGATTCATGAAGAAATTGGTAACAAAGGTGAGGCTGTTACAAGAAGGAAACTGTCATTTTTCCTTATTGTACTATTTACTTAAACCTTTAGTTAAAAAAAATGAGCTAATTAAAATTTTCCATATTCTGATGTTAATATTAATGTCTTTTTGGGCCAGTTGTTCTCATGTGGTTTTCTTCTGTGGCATGGCTGACACTATCTTGAAACATCATAGGGAGACTTTAACATGCCATAGGCGTGTCCACTCTTGTGCTGTGCATTCTACAAATGGACTAGGCCTCGTGCATAGCTAGCCTGGGATGAGTTCAGCCTGCAGGCCACAGAGTGCGCACACCTAGATTAGATGTGAAACAGGTCAATTCAGCAAGCTTTCTGGTATCCAAGTTGTGCCGTATTATAGTCTGGAAGTCTACCAAGTGAGATCATGTATCGTTTCTGAGCTATCCTGACTGTCCTGGTGGTGTTATCCTTAAAGATATGGGAGAAGAGACTATGGGCTTTACAATACCTGGAAATCGACCGTTTTCAGACACTGCTATTTTAAAGCATTCTCATGTGACTTGAGTGGCAACTCTTGTCTAATCTGCTTCCCAGGCTGATGCAAGTCTCTGAGACTCTGTTGAAACATGAGTGTAATGCACACACCACAGGCAGCCCTGATGTGTGCATAGCTACTACAGTCAGGTTCTTTATTTGGGTCTGCCTTTCCCTTCATTCTCACCTCCTCACCATGTATGGGACTATTGCATTCAAGTCCTCGTTTAACTTGACCTTCATTCCAATTTTATGCCCTTTTAATCCGTTTTAGAAAGCAATGTGACATTAATCTTTATTTAAAAAACAAAAGAGAACAAAGCAGAAAAACAGCACGGGCCTTCCTGTTTTGTATTTGTCTGAACTCTAGACTGGTACTGGGGCCGTGCTCCTTTCCTCTCTGAATGCACCTCCCTTAGGATTAGTATAAGGCTCCCGCTTAGATAGGAAGTCCTTGCTCTCCTTTCTGTGTGTCTCTCGTTTGTGTACAGCGTACCTGCTGGGCTCACGTGCTGCTTCTTTCTAGTCTTTTTTTATTATCTGCTTCTCCCAAAGGTGATTTTTTTGGGAAGAGAGGTTGTCTTTTCCCTTGTTAAGACATAACCCTCCTACCCCATATTTATTAAAACTTTTATGGTATGTGATAGCACTTTTTCTTACAACATATACCAAATAAGGTAAGTAGAGTTTATATAGAATATAATAGAATGGATAAACTGCCAAGTCTGAAAGCCAGGCTAAAGTCTCAGGGGTTTTACTGGTGAATTTGATTCCCTAGCTGTCCTTGGTGTGACTGGCACCAACTAGGGACAGTGTGCTGAAGCTTAAAGTGACTTCTGGGATCTGTTAACGGAGCTGGCTCCTGTTCACAAATGAGCAAACACGGTACTGGAACACACCTCCACTCCCTGTTTTTGGATGTGGTTGCTTTTCCTTGCTCCATCAGCCTCACCTTCCTTGTCTGAGAACTGCAATTGGCCCAGCGCTTGGATGAAGAGAAAGCCAGATGCTAGTTCTGTTCTGTTCATTTTTGCATTGTTCTAAAGTGTTGCTTTTGTTTAGTTCTGAGAAAGGAACTCTTTTTTTTTTCTTTTTTTTTTCCCCCCAAGACAAGGTTTCTCTGTAGCTTTGGAGCCGAGCCTATCCACCACTGCCCGGCTTTGGGACTGCTAGCTCTTGTAGACCAGGCTGGCCTCAAACTCAGAGATCTGCCTGCCCTCTGCCTCCTGAGTGCTGGGATTAAAAGCTCTGAGAAAGAATCTTAAGAGACCCAGGCTGACCTCAAACTCACTACATAGTCAAGGTTGACTAAATTCTTTCTGTAGTAAAGGATGACTTTAATCTCCTGATCCTCCTGCCTCCACCTCGCAAGTCCTGGAATTATAGACTTTCTCCACAATACCCAGTTTATGTGGTGCGGTAGTGTACGCATGCCTTTATTCCCAACACTCAGGAGGTGGGCAGGCAGATCTCTGTGAGTTCAAGGCCAGCCTGGTCTACAAGAGCTAGTTCCAGTATAGGCTTCAAAACTACAGAGAAATGCTGTCTCAAAAAAAAAAAAAAAAAAAAAAAGGAAAAAAGAATCAAATGCTCCACCAACTATGTCACCAGCCCAGATTTTAGTCATTATTCAAACACAGGGTGTAAATAAGTAATCCTCATTTAGGAGGTTAAATAAGTATCTCATTTAGGTAGGGCCTTGCATGTAACACAGTTGTCTGTAGAGTAATAGCTATAACTTGGGAAGATGTTTGAACTATTTAATTTTTCATTAAATTATTCCTTGGAAAGAGTAATGGACAAACTTGTGTTTTCTGATCATAAGAGTTATTTTGCCACGGAAAGTTAATCTCCTCATTCCTGGATTCTCTGTCTTAGTGATATTAACTGTTTTGTCCATTTTCATTAGCTGAAATGAGCCACAAATGGAACTTTTCATTTTCTCTATTTACATAGACCTTATGCACATATCCTCTCAGTTCCTGCTTCGGAAACCGCTTACCCTGGGCAGACGCAGTACCAGACACTGCAGCAATCTCAATCCTACGCTGTCTACCCTCAGGCAACCCAAACATATGGACTACCTCCTTTTGGTAAGATGGCCTGTTGTGAGCAGTTCTTAGAAGAGTGTCTCATCATTCAGAAACTGTCCCTCCTCAGAAAGCAAGCAAGGCAGACCAGGAAAGAGGAAGAAACATTGTCCTTTATAGGTGCTTGCTCATTAAGTGTGTGGTAGAAGTTGTGCTTACAGCTTTCCACAATTATTTGGTTACTCACCAAAACTTGCCTATTTCCAAGGTCTCTGAAACTTGGCCCCCTCTACTCCCTTCCACCCAAATGCTGAGGTTTGTGCTCACATTCTTGTTATGCTAAGATCTCTGAGACTAAGCTATGCTCCCCAAACTTTAGCTTATTGAAACAGAGTCTTGCTACATTGTTCAGGCTGGCCTTGAAGTTGCTGTGTAGCAAATGCTAGCTTGGAAATTTCAGTACTCCAGCTTCAACTTCGTGACTGCTGGGATTACAGGTGTGTGCCATCACATCCAACTAGAAGTTTGGAATCATTGGGAAACTGAGGGATCATCACTGATTTGCCTTACTTACATAGGACATAGTACTATGCTAAGGTAAAAGTGGTAAATATATTTTGTGGTGACTGATTTCTGCTAAAACCGTGTAGTCTAAATATTCAGTTAGAATATGTCTCATGTTTTTGTTTTATCATTGTTATTTTCTGTTTTTTGTTTTGGCTAGTTTCTCTCTTCCCTTCCCCTACTTCTCCTTCCCCAAATTGATCAAATGTTCTGATGAACCAAAAGTGCTTTTAGAATGGATGGCATTTGAAGCCATGTGCCTAGGGAATTGTTTTTATTAGTTTTATTTATCTTGGATATAAACCATAAATCAAAATTATTTACTGCAAGTTAATTTGAGGTTGAGCATTTAATAATATCTGTGGCAAATTTTCTACACATGTATGTATAAATTGATAGATTTACAGTATGCATTATTGTTCCTCTGTTCTGGCCCTGGTTTTAAAATTTAGTATTAATTTAACCTAATATGTTAAAAGTTACGTTTTGGGAGGCTAGACAGATGGCCCAGTGGTTAAGAGTACTTATTGCTCTCGCCAAAGACCCAGGTTCAGTTTCCAGTAGTAACTGGTTTTTTGTTTTTGTTTTTGTTTTTTTGTTTTGTTTTGTTTTTGGTTTTTCGAGACAGGGTTTCTCTGTGGTTTTGGAGCCTGTCCTGGAACTAGCTCTTGTAGACCAGGCTGGTCTCGAACTCACAGAGATCCGCCTGCCTCTGCCTCCCAAGTGCTGGGATTAAAGGCGTGCGCCACCACCGCCCCACCCTTCCAGTAGTAACTGTTCCAAACTTTCTGTGACTCCAGTTTTAGAGAATTCAGTTACCCTCTTCTAACCTCCTTAGGTACCAGGCATGCGTGTAGACGGACATATATGCAGCCAAAATATTCATATACATAAATAAATCTAAAAAGAATTTTTAGTAAAAAAAAAAAAACAATGTCTTTGAGACTTCATTTAAACAAGCTGAGGTTTTTTTGTTCTTGTTTTTATTCTTTTTAAGTTGTCTAGAGAAGTTATCCCATAGATGCTGGGCGTTTTAGTTGCTTTTGCTTTTAGTTTCTCTGCTCCTAATTCTGCTGGCTCACTTGGCCAGTGTCTTGTGTTACTGACAGCTTCTGAGCATTCTCTGGCTCCTTGGTAAATGCTAAATAGAATTGCTGGTACTTGTGTGCTTTTGTTTTGCGTGCTGGAGATCTGTCAGTAACCTTTTTCACACTGCACATGCACTCTACCTCAGTCCACAGCCTGTTTTATTTTCTTTTGGTGTCCGAGACAGTGTTTTATAGCCTCTAATTCTTTGTTCTTTTCTTTTTTTTTTTTTTTTGGTTTCTTGAGAGTGCTTGAAAATATAGGATGCACCACTATATTATATATAGCTCCTAGATGGTAATAATACATAACAAGGTCTCTGTATGTCTCCTTAAGCTCAGTGATCCTCTTGCTGCAGATTTCCCTGGTATATACCACCAGATGTGTGTGGTTATTTCTTTCCTTTATAAAAACAATGATTTGAAAAGACCTATTTATTTATTTATTTACGTCTGTGGGTGTTTTGTCATCATGTACATCTGAGTACCAGAAGAGGGTGGAAGACTCCATGGCACTTCAGGTACAGATGGTTGTGAGCCTACCTGCAGGTTCTGGGAAGTGAACTCAGGACCTCTGGAAGAGCAGTCAGTGCTCTTAACTGCCAAGCTACCTCTCCAGGCCTGTGGTTATTTGTTACTGCATATATTAAGCTAAAGTTTTCTTTCTTTTTTTTTTTTTTTTTTTTGGTTTTTCGAGACAGGGTTTCTCTGTAGCTTTGGAGCCTGTCCTGGAACTAGCTCTTGTATACCAGGCTGGCCTCGAACTCACAGAGATCCGCCTGCCTCTGCCTCCTGAGTGCTGGGATTAAAGGTGTGCGCCACTACCGCCTGGCTAAGCTAAAGTTTTCTCTGATGGCTCATAATAGGCTATCAGTGTACAGTAATTATTTTTATACTTCTTCCCCTTCATTCTCTTCGAAATTTATGGTTAGTAAGCCCAAGCTCTATTAACACACTGAATTGTTGATCCCATCTGTTGTTGAATAATAAAGATTCTTTTACCCCAAATTCAGTTTGATAAAACACCTCACTGCCAGGCAGTCATGGTGCACGTCTTTATTTGGGAGGCAGAGGCAGGCGGATCTCTGTGTGTTCGAGGCCCACCTGGTTAACAGAACGAGTTCTAGGACAGCTAGAGCTACACAGAGAAACCCTATCCCTGTTTACCATAGCCCTGAGATCAGGCACATACTGAAACCATACCTAGATTGTTACATGGGCTCTGGAATGCAAACTTGGGTCCTCATGATTGACTAGCACAGAACTCTTAACCACTGAGCCATCTCTCTTTGCCTCTATCTGTCTGTCTGTCTAATCTATCTAATCTATCTATCTATCTATCTATCTATCTATCTATCTGTTTTTATTGTTTTACTGAGCTATACACAGTCCTCTCTGCTCCACTCCCTTCCTCCCCTTTCCTTCTCTATCCTCTCCCACGACTCCAACTCTCCCAATTTACTCCTGTGTAGATCCATGTATATCTCTCTTAGGTAGGATTCTTTTTGTTGCCTAGGTTCTGGGGTTGTGGGCTGTAGGCTGGTTTTTCTTTTTCTTTTTTTTTTTTATGTCCAAATCTAAAAGCCACGTATAAGTGAGTGCATATTATATTTGTCTTTCTGTGTCTGAGTTACCTCACTCAATATGTTTTTTTTTCTCGATCCATCCATTTGCCTGCAAATTTCAAGATGTCATTATTTTTTTACTGCGTTGTAGTATCCCATTGTGTAAATGTACCACATTTTCTTTATCCATTCTTGAGGGGAATCTATGTTGTTTCCTGGTTCTGATTATGACAAATAATGCTGCTATGAACATAGTTGAGCACATGTCCTTGTGGTATGATTGAGCTTCCTTTGGATATATATCCAAAAGTGGTATGGCCGGGTCTTGAGGGAGATTGTTTCCTAATTTTCTGAGAAGTTGCTGTACTTATTTCCAAAGCGGCAGTACAAGTTTGCATTCCCATCAGCAATGCAGGAGTGTACCCCTTACCCCACATCCTCTCCAGCATAAGTTGTCATCAAAGTTTTTGATCTTGGCCATTCTGACAGGTGGAATCTCAGAGTTATTTTGATTTGCATTTCTCTTGATTTATTTCCTAAAGTGTCTTTCAGCCATTTGAGATTCATCTGTTGAGAGTTCTCTGTTTAGGTCTGTACTCCATTATTTTTATTAGATTATTTGTTCTTTTGATGTCAGGTTTCTTGAGTTCTTTGTATATTTTGGAGATTAGTCCTTTGTCCAATGTGTGGTTGATGAAGATCTTTTCCCATTCTGTAGGCTATCGTTTTGTCTTGTTGACCTTGTCCTTCGCTTTACAGAAGCTTTTCAGTTTCAGGAGGTCCCGTTTATTAATTGTTGCTCTCAGTGTCTGTGCTGCTGGGGCTATATTTATGAAGTGGTCTCCTTACCACTTTCTCTTCTTTTTTTAAATCTTTTTATATATTTTTATTGAGCTCTACATTTTTCTCTGTCCCCCTCCTTATTTCTCCCCTCCCCTTCAACCTTCTCCCAAGGTCCCCAATGCTCCCAGTTTACTCAAGATATCTTGTCTTTTTCTACTTTCTATGTAGATTAGATCTATGTATGTCTCTCTTAGAGATCTCGTTGTCTAGGTTCTCTGGGATTGTGATTTGTAGGTTGGTTTTCTTTGCTTTATGTTTAAAAACCATTTATGAGTGAGTACATATGATAATTGTCTTTCTGGGTCTGGGTTACTTTCTCTTCTATGAGGTTCAGTGTGTTTAGTTATATGTTGAGGTCTTTGATCCATTTGGATTTGAGATTTGTGCATGGTGATAGATATGGATATATTTGCATTATTCTACATGTTGATATTCAGTTATGCCAGCACCATTTATTGAATTTGCTTTTTTTTTCCATTTTATATTTTTAACTTCTTTGTGAAAAATCAGGTTTGTAGGTGTATGGATTGATATCCGGGTCTTCGGTTCAGTTCCATTGGTCCTCCTGTTTGTTTTTATGCCAGTACCAGGCTTTTTCCAGTACTGTAGCTCTGTAGTAGAGTTTGAAGTTAAGAATTATGATGATTCCAGAAGTTCCTTTATTGTAGAGGATTTTTGTTGTTGTTTTTTCATATGTTCTTTTGAAGTTTGTAAAGAATTTTGCTGGGATTTTGCTGGAATTTGCATTGATTCTGTAGATTGCTTTGGGTAAGATTGCCATTTTTACTATGTTACTTCTACCTTCCAAAGAGCATGGGAGATCTTTCCATTTTCTGGTGTCTTCAATTTCTTCTTCAAAGATTTAAAGCTCTTGTGATACAGGTCTTTCATTTGTTTGGTTGGATTTACTCCAGGATATTTTATGTTACTTGTGGCTATTGTGAAGGGTGATGTTTCTCTGGGCTGAGAAAGAAATCAGAGAACCTGGCCCCTATTTATTATATCT